CGTCGCAAGATGGTCTGGGGCCAAAATTGGAATATGCGTTCCATCTATTGCCTCACCACAGTTAGGGAATCCCATTTCCACAAAGCCATCCGCTATTTCACACACATTGCTAAGAGTCACAGTCCTTTTTGGCAGGATGTGATTAATAGTCCTGCACACTTGCATTAACGCAGCTGTTAGGATATAGATATTCAGGTCTGTTTGCAAAGGCCTATACTTTAAGAATGTAGGTATATGTTTATTATTTAGCTAGTTATAGAGGTATAAAAAAAACAACAACAAAATCTCTGCCTGCCTGTATAGGGCCTTTTTTTACTGTAACAGTCTAAGGCTCTGTTCTTAGGCTAAGTAAGGCCTTTGTCTAAGCAGGAGAGGCAGCCATAAGCTGGGAAGCAAAAGGTCACATCCTCACATTTCAAACTAGTTACATTAAAATAAGGCAATCTGGGGCTGTTAAAAAGGTGATCCAATCTATCACCTCCAGAGAAAGGGAAGAGCCTAAAAGATTTCAATAGTTTGATAGCATCCTGTCTGGCAAGAACTCACTTATCAATAGCTGGGGTGTAAAATCCTCATTTCTATATTGTTTTATTACTGTAGTCTCCACTTTCCTATTGTTTGTCTGTATAATCTCTGTTTGGTTTTGTGATTGTTTTTGTTTGCTGTATAATTAATTTTTTTTAGTGTAAATGAATTAAGGTGATGGAATATGATTGGTTAAATAATCATGTTACAATGTGTTAGGATTGGTTAGTTAAATTTCAGTAAAATGATTGGTTAAGGTATAGTTAACCAGAACTCAAGTTTTACTATATAGTCTGCAGTCAATCAGGAAGATGGACCTTTGGTCTGACCCGGTACGGCCGTTCTTATGTAACAGGGAATGGGGGTGGGGGAATTAAAATCATGTTTCGCTAAGGGGCGGGACTGGGAACAGGGAATGGGAACAGGGACACAGGCAAGACTCTGTGGGGTCAGAGCTAGAAAGGGAGACACTAAGGAAGGAAACGGGAATCATGCTTGCTAAAAGTTCACCCCAATAAACATCAAATTGTTTGCACCTTCAAACTCTGTTCTTGCAAAAAGGACCAGGAAAGTAAGCGGGTAAAGAAATAAGCCCTCTAACAGCAGCCCTCACAGTCAACTTCCTGACTCCAAACTGATTAGCAACCGACTGGTAGTGGTCTGGAGTCACCAACTTCCACACTGCGATTGCCACACACTTCTTCACTAAGAGATGTCCTTGTGCATCAGGGCTGGGGCAAGCTCTGCACACAGTTCCAGGAAGGTGGCTTTCATGGGCAGTGGGTATCATAGACCGGGGAGGCTGTACCTAGTGTGGCCCCACCCACACTCCACCCCCAGGCCCTTTCCCGCAGTGCAGTTCCTTCCTGCTCTTCCGTAGTAACCCAGGTTGGCTGGGACTGGGGTGGGCTGGCGTTGGCATGCCGCCAGGACTCGGGGCAGCTGGTGCTGGAGCTGGGGCTGCGCTGCCCACCTGGCACTTGGGGCACTGGGACCGTGCCACCTGGAGCTGGCAGCACTCCGGAGCTGGGGTTGGGGGACCGCCCAGAGCTCTGGGGCTGGGGACCTAACCGGAGCTCTGGGGCTGGGGCAGGCGGGCCGGGGGCCACATTGTGGGTGCTCTGGGCCCCTGCAGGGGAGGGAGGGCAGAAGGGGAGGGTGAGGAGCAGGGCCTCAGGCAGAAGGGGAGGGGCCAGGGACTATCCTCCCCAATGGCCGGTTCAACAGCTGCCCATGGTGGCTTTCCGCATCCAAAAGTTCTGCAGTCACTGCTTGTCATCCCAGACTTGCATAACAATGAGATCCCTCCATTCAGTGCTTGTTTCCCAAGCCCGAAAGCGACGACCACTGTGTGCAGCTGCTCCATGAATGCCATAAGTAATCTGGTGTTTTTTTCCATGGCACACAGTAGGGCAGAGAACTCTGATTTCTGTTCAGATTGGGAGCTCATGATATACTGCATGTGTTATCCTGCATGCATGTGCATGATATATCTGTGATGTGTTAATGACAGTTACCACAAAAGTAGAGAGCAGTGCAGGATCCATCCTTTCACACAGTGATGGAGGGTGCACAGTACACAGGGGCCATTGAAAAAAATGCCGCAAAACACAGTCGGAAGCCCACAGAATGCTGGGACGGAAAACAATGCATCATGGGACATTGAGCCCGCCTCCATGACATACTGTGATCCCCTCCGGCTTCCCAGAAGTCTTACCTGCAGAAGGTGGTGAGTAGCACCATGGGATCGCTACCCACAGTGCACTGCTCTCTCTGTCGATGCTAGAACACCAAGTGTGGACGGACTTTGCCCACAGGGGAAGTGTAGTGTGAACATGCAATAGTGATATTATTATAGCGCTTTTCGATTGCCCACATAACTTTTGTTGACAAAACTCTGTAGTGTAGACAAGGCCTCACTGTCTCTACAGTTCACTTGGGTCACCTTTTCAAGATTTTCTCTACAACAACTCAATTGAAAGCTGTGATTCTCACCTGTCAAAGTCTGGGGCTTTAAGAAAAGCACCAAATAGCGCAAGACTCATAGTGCGAGACTCACAATAAAATCATGAGTGTTACGTTAGCAACACTGGCTCCCTCACCCAGTGGCGGCTCCAGGCACAAGCGCTCCAAGCGCGTGCCTAGGGCGGCAAGCCGCAGGGGGCGCCCTGCCGGTCCCTGCGAGGGCGGCAGTCAGGCAGCCTTCGGCGACTTGCCTACGGGAGGTCTGCCAGTCCCGCGGCTTCGGTGGCAATTCAGCGGCGGGTACACCGAAGCCGCAGGACCGACGGACCTTCCGCAGGCATGCCGCCGAATCCACGGGACCAGGGACCTCCCGCAGGCATGCCGCCGAAGGCAACCTGCCTGCTGTGCTTGGGGCGGCAAAAAAGCTAGAGACGCCCCTGCCCTCACCTCCAGGGGCGGCTCTAGGCACCAGCAAAGCAAGCACGTGCTTGGGGCAGCCCATTTGCAGGGGAGGCAGGGATCCAACATGGGAGCTGAGAACCAACAGGGGGCCCTGGGAGCTGTAGTTCCTTGGTTTGCTCCCTGCCTATAGAGCCAGCCCTGGAGCAGGGAAAGAACTACATTTCCCAGCATTCCCTTGGCCACTACCAACAGGAAAGAGGGGGAGGGAGTGAGGAAGCTGAGACCTCATGCTACAGCCTGCTGTGAATGGAGAGCTGCACTGTGAAGGGTAGGGATACCATATTTTAACATTCAAAAAATAGGACATTCCACGGGGAGGAAGGGTAGCCCCACCCTGCCACCATCCACTCCCTCCGACTGCCCCCCACAGAAACCCCAACCCATCCAACCCACCCTGCTCCCTGTCCCCTGATTGCCTCCTTCCAGGACCCCACCCCCTATCTAAGCCTCCCTTCTCCTTGTTCCCAACTGCCCCCTCCTGAGAACCCCCCGCAAGTTCCCCCCTAGAACCCCACCCCCTAGCTGTCCCCTGACAATCCAATGGGACTCCCATGCCTATCCAACTGCTGCCTGTCCCCTGAGTGCCCCCCCGAACTCCTGACCCATCTACCCCCCCTTCTCCCTGCCCCTGACTGCCCCCCCAAACCTCCACCCCATCCAACCCCCCCTGCTCCCTGTCCCTTGACTGCCCCCCTGGAACCTCCTACCCCTTCTCCAACCTCCCAGCCCCCTTACCGTGCCACTCAGACCAGCGTGTCTGGCTTCGCGCAGTGCCAGACACACTGCTGCATACATGCTGCAGTGCTCCCCTGCGGAGCCACAGCCCCCTCCCCCCTCCAGCACCTGCCTTCCAGATTTGAACACCTCAAAATTCAGGAGTGCTCAAGCTCGGTTTGGGCAGCTGTTACTTCATTTCTCCCAAATCAAATATACTGATCCACTGTAACTTGCTGTAGAAAAAGTAGGATAAAATTGAGCAAGAAATGCTTCCCAGTGGTTATTAGGACTGGAATTGCTATTTTCAACAGCCATTGCCTTTTTTGTTTGTTTGTTTATTTAAAAGGAAGACAGTGATATTGCATTGGCAAATTCCCCATAGAAAGAAAGAGTGGAACAAAAGAATAATAAAGGCACCTCAACTTTTCCTCATTTATGGAGGACAGTCTTATAATTTGCACCCAGCTATTCTCCAATCACACAAGCTGAAAATTGTTTCACTTTACTGCAGTTCTGTAACCATATGGGAACCAATCCTGTCTGTGTTCTGTGCACATCTAAAATTCCTGCTGAATGACCCGCCCTGGGAGCGAGTTACCAGTGACCCAGGGCTGCGGCGGAAGGAGGGTGCGGGTGGGGGGCAGAGCCCAGGGCTGGGGCGGCAGGGGGGTGCGGGTGGGGGGGGGGGGAGAGCCCAGGGTGTGGGCGGCAGGGGGGTGCAGCAAGGAGCCCAGGGCTGGGACCCGGGGGGAGGGGGGGACAGCCAAAATTATTTTCGCTTGGGGAGGCAAAAAACCTACAGCCGGCCCTGCTCACCCCTGCAACACAGTGGGGCAGGCAGTAGAGAGGAGGCGGCTAGTCCCAGCTTTCCCTCACTAGCAACAGCCCAGCCAGAAAGGGAGCAGGACTGGGGGACAGGAGCTGATAGCAGGGTGCTGCATTGCCAACAACGCTCATGCTCTTATCAAGAGTTTCATGCTATTGGGTGATCTTCTTTAGCCCCCAGCTCCGGGAGTCCTGGGATTTTGTAAGAATCGCAGCTCTTTAAAAAAACAAAAACAAAAGCTGTTTCCAGCCCTCGGGGTGAGGGAGGGCGTGGGCTGGAAACGCGACCCCCAAGTCAGCAGACAAGGAGCGGTAGCTGCTACTGTCAATCGGTTCAATCGCGGCTGGATCCCGGCTCCAGCAGGAGCAGCGGGCGGCCCCGACGCCAGGCAGGGAGGGAGGCGGGAACGCCCCTGCTGGAAGCGAGGAGCAGAACCATAGAGCGCGGCCTCCGCGGAGAGCTAGACAGGCACATTCTCGGTCCCTTCCAGCCGCCCCGTCTCGGAGCTTGCTGGCAGTAGGGCACGCGCGGCCTTCTCATTGGCCCGGAGGACACCCGCTCCAGACCCGGAGACGCAGACACGGGCCACGGGGCTGCCAGAGTCGAGCGCGGGGAAGAGCTCGCCGCCGCCGCTCGGTCACTGGCTGGCCGGGATCCGGGCAGGCCGCGAGGTAGGCGCCTCTCC